ATAGCGTGAATCTACAATCGAGTAATTTCTCGGCTTCGGATATTTAACCTTGGCAAAAAATATTAGTACATTATATTGTTCAAAGGTTATAATGTTTGAACAAGTTGTCACCTCGTGCATGAAGCTCGCTTTAATGCATGACACAAAAAGGGATGAGAAATAGTGCGAAAAAGATCTGATGCTGACGCAGGTAAGACTTTGTCAAAGGAGGTTCATATTTTGTAATGACACCATAATAGGGGGTGTAATTGTTTACACAGCTTTTAGGATATGATTGAGCAGATTTGTCTTTGCATTTCTCTGTTTTGTGCAATATATGAAAGAAACTACACATTTTTTTTCAAGTGTAAGTCTAAGAGGCTCAAAGGTATGTTCACACTTAATTCTGTATAAATACCGCCTGGAGTTCATGTGTGTGGTTGAAATTTCTCGGCTCCATGGAGGGAAGAAACATATTTCTCGAAGCTGCTTTTGCGGGAGAGCCTGTAGTGAATCCAGAAGACCAAGGAGACAAAGAGTTGGAAAGGCTGGAAAGGATTTTCTTTACGCCAAAAACCAGGCAAAAGCGAAAAGCAGACCGCGATAAAGGCAAGTCTAGCAAATCTGAAATAAAATTCAAAAACAGAAACCTCGAGCTACAGCTGGTAAGGGAAGCAGTGAGCAAAGTTGGATGTCTTCCCAAACGAGTACTTAGTTACGTTGAGCTTATGGCCGACCAGCTCGGTCCTGTCGAAAAGGCCTACTATACATCCATTGGCAAGGGAACAGGGCCAACTAAACAGACGGCACTTAGGCGAATAGGAAGAAAAATAAAAGAATGGCAAGTCTCGGGGTAATTTTTTGATATACCAATTGATCATTCTGACTATAAATTCTTATTACTTTTAGTATTAATGTAGCTAATGAACTTGGTTTTTCCTTAATTTTTTTAGCAACGACAAACCATCAGTAAAAGACCCGGAGGATTGTATACGAGAGTAGTTGTAGTGAAGAATCTTCGCCGATGGACATCAAAAACGATGCAAAGTGTACCTCGAAAAGAAAAGCAGACTATGGAAGGGACGGCCTTTATCTTGTTGGGAAAGATGAAAAAAGTAAAGCCTCTGATGCCAGAAAGTACACGGAGACCACAACCAAAACGGAACGTTCAAGATTTCTTAGTGAATATGAAGAGGATGAATTGATTGCAGAGGAGGAAAAAGGTGAGATGCTATCCATCAGTTTCATTGCCGTCATCGATATTATGTTCTTACGTAAGGTTTCAGAATAAGCACGAGGGAGTACGGCTCTTTTGAGTAATTTTCGGGTTGGGGTTGTGGGTCAGACCTAAAGTTATTTTTCATATATTCTTGCCT